TCAATAGCTCTCAGTGTGACATGTAATTGAGAATGCAACAGCTCTTTGATCAAACACGTGAGCACTCCTCTAAAAATGCATGCCCAAAAAAAAAAAAAAAAAAAAAAAAGAAGGAAATGACCCCTCCTCCCTATGGACATTAGAACTTTCCACAAAGAAAGAAGGAAAAAGCACTTTTTATTATTTACCTTTGATATTCTCCAGTGTTGGAATGATGAGATCGCTGCATAATCCTTTGCCTTTCTTGCTTTATAAAAATAACACAACATAAAATAATAAAACAGTTCAGATATCAGAGAAAAAGTAAGTTAAATCATTTTATCACTACTAAAAATATTTTCTACTGGGGAAAAATGAACTGGGGTCCTCATATTCCTAATTATCATTATTTTCCTCCATATGACCTTATTTTTGTATGGTATTCACAGACTCAGAAAATGTTAGAGATGGACTATATCTTAGATATCATCAAATCTCTTTATTTTATTCATTTTTTCCTCATTTTACAGATGAGGAAACTGAGCCTGTCAGTTCAGATCTTTAAATAAATCAGTATAGCCCTGAGGATATAAGGAGATTTTAAATTTACTGTAAAAAGTGAATTTTGAGCTTTGACAGCAATTCTATAGCAACCAAAAAGAGAGAGGATTCTGCAGTTTCTAGGGGGTTAGTGGGTTCAGAGGAGAGTTTCTCAGTGGAACAGTCTCCTCCTGAAACTAAACTCTGATCAAGGGGTAAGGAAAAAACATCTGCCAGACTCCCCCGTATTATTCCCCATCCTCAGCCCTTGCCTCCAAGAACCCTGGGAAATACTAAGTAGTATCTAATGGATTGTATCCTGGAAGCTTCCATTCATAGAGAGGCAAGGATATATCCATCCTGAGTATGATAATAAAATAAATGGCCTACCCCCTATACAGAAAGACATTTTTCTTAGGAAGACCTATTATAAAATGTACATTTGCCAATATAATTCAATTACATTGCTAAAAATTTTTTTGGAAAAAGAAAAAAGGTCAGAATCTGGATTATATCTCAATAAACTGAAAATTTTCATTTCTAGGGTTTTTTTATTTATTAAACTAATTTTTGATCAGAAAAAAGGTATTGTGATTCAATTACCACTACAACTGCCACAGCATCTCTTAGTAAATCCGTTGCCTTACAAGTCCAACTTCTTAGGACCAAAACTACTAAAGATGCAAGTCAAATTTGTGCCAAAAGTCCATATGATGGCTCCAACTCCCCTCATGGGGTACAGATTTCTTGGCTACTTGGCTGTTCACTATAGCAAGGTTGTTGTTAATTGGGCAGGACTGCCCGTGAAATTCCGTTTTGTTTTCATTCTACTGTGAACACTGACATTTCCACAAAAATGAAAATGGCCAAGACAGTGGCAATAGTAGATGAGCACATAAAAGCATATTCCTCCCAGGAGGTTCAATCTGACGTTAATTTAGTATAAGACACACATTCAAGCTGTTTAACTGATGATAAGACAACACAAAACATTATACAGGCTTTCAACCTCCCATTTTTCTGACTTTATATGCCATATGACTTTCTGTGAACTAGATGTTTCAATATGAAATAGAACAGAATATGTAACTTAACATATAATTTGAGAGTACCAACTAAGAACCCAATAAACTTTAAAAACATCCAGAAAGTACTGTATTACATTTTACTAAGAAGTTTGTTTTGCTGCAAAATTTCCTTTGTTTAAAAAAACAATTTAAATTTCTGGGAAATATATACTTGTGAAAAATATAATAGCTCTTCTTTGAGGAAAACAAAGGATTATCATCTAACGTTTTTATTTTTGAAGTCAAATGGCACCTACTAATGCCAAACTAAACAATATTAATCACAGAAGGCATGTGACCACATGCTACTACTTATATTTTATATTCGGAATAGGCTCATCAATTTGTCTTTAAGGTAGGCAGAGAGTAAACAATGATAAACAAAATGCCCTTCATTTGGGGAAAAACGAGTCAAAAACTAAAGTTTCTTTTAGCATTTTACAAATCAGTAGAAAAGCAGCTCTGTGATCTATAGATTGGGGTCTTTTTCCCCTCACCTCCAAGAACTTTCGCTGCTTTGCTGCCCTGGCTGCTTCACGCTGTGCAGCGTATAAAGCTTCTTCTTCTAGTCTTAACTTCTCTTCTTGTAAGGCTAACTGTATATGAACAAAACAATAAGGGTTAACAAAAATCAGAACCTGTCTAACTGCTCTAAAATAATGAAATGCTTATTTATAAAATAAAAGAATTATTCACAACAAAAAATTGTTTTTTACACGTTAGAGAGGAAATTTTAGTTATAAAATTTTCAGCATTTCTATAACAAAGTAAAATTATGAACATTAAGTTTATATTCTGTATTATGAAGTGATATCTCATTTTTAGTTTGTGAACTTTCACATTACAGAATGGTTTCTCGCTTTACAACATGCCATAATTGGTATTCATACCATTTTACTTTATATATTTTTACTTTGACTATTATAATGCTAATGGCCTTCCCAAATCACAGTCAACAATATTCCTATTTGCAAATGACCCCCTATACTTCAATGAAGCTGTGATCTCACCACTGTCAGGGACACATTCAAGGAGGAAGACCACAACTCATCTATGCTGCCCTTACCGGGCCAGTCTTGTCTGCATCTGCCTGTAAATTTCCCAAAGCGGGTCTATCCAACATTCTTATTCTATTAGTTCTCTCTCTCCTTTCTCACTGTGACCAGTCTATTTGTTTTCGAGCCACATGCCACATGTCTACGATGGCACTCTTTATACTTCTTTTGCATAACTCTTTATAATATGCTATAGCCTGCTCATACCCAACACTTCTCTTTGGGTAACCCTCAAGTCTAGTTTTCTAGGATTTCACTTAACTTTGAAATTTTTCACTCTTAATTAGCAGAGTACCACTTTGCTACAGACATCTAGTTTTATTGCTGTTCAAGAACTGTCTTGAATGTAGTTCTTGTTAACAAGCAGTATACAAAGTTTCTATAGTAATAATTAGCTTTAAATAAATCAGATTAAGTAAAAATCAGAATTTTATGTTTTTTTGCCCTCTGGCTAATGTATGTTTTTGTTACTGTATATGCCTGCCCTATTGATCAAAGACAGTATTTTTAAAAAAATTTAAATTCTGAACTAAACACCAAACTAAAGAGCATTTTCATATAGAGGTAAAGGATTCAGCATGATAGAATGAATCTCTATTTCATACCAGTTGCTTTCTAAATAAATTTTATGATAAATTCTACATCTATTTTCTTTTTTAAAAAAAATTTTAAAAGTACCTTATTTTTCCCCAGTTACATGATAAGAAAAATTTTAGCATTCATTTTTACAAGATTCTGAGTTCCTCTACATGTATTTTCAAAACTGTCCTGCTTGGATCAAAGACAATATCGATAAAAGCTGTTGTATCTGGAAAACTGCATTTAAGTGCCATTGAATCAATGGTAACTATCATATAAACATTAAAATAAACAGTAGCTAGGTCACTGTTTTTTTTCCCCTCCTTTACAGTGTTAAACATGCTAAAATTGTCCTAATGAGAACAAATAAAACGTATAAAAACCATATAGCAGTGAAATCTATTTTACAAATAAAATAATTTCTTAAGGCAGTTGGGTTTAAGTGACTTGTCCAGGGTCACACAGCTAGTAAGTGTCAAATGTTTGGTCTGAGGCCGCATTTGAACTCAGGTCCTCCTGACTTCAGGGCTGGTGCTCTATTCACTGCGCCACCTAGCTGCCCCCAAATAAAATAATTTTTCAAGCTTTTTTAGTGAACTTGGTTTTCCACAAACTTTACAAGAATCACAGACCATCATTAGGTTTAGATTTAACTATGAATCTAAAAATACTAATTCCCCTCATATATTGTTCTTCAAGCTTATAGTGCTTCCTCAGAATACCTCTATGAGGTAGGGCTGCAGATGAAGAAACTGAGGCACAAAGCTGTTAACTGACTTGCTCCCAGACACAAAACTAGTGCTGGGGAAGGGACACAAATTGAAGCCTTTAGACTTCAAACTCACTCTCTTCTGACCACAACACGAGGCTATTACCAGTGAACTGTGAGCACTGAATTTAATACTGAATATCACAAAAAGCAAAAGTGAAACACAACAAACATCCAAGTCACATACATGGTCTTATAATCCAAGAATTTTATTTACCTCTCTTTGAATTTTCATATCAAATGTTTTCTGTTTTTCAGCAATAGAATCATAATGCCTCTCTCTTAAGTCAGCTATTTCTTCCTCAGTAAGGGGCCTGGAAGGAGAAAGGAAATACAAAACTTTTGCAACGTCAAAAGGTATTAAAATAATTCAGTGCTATGATTTTAATGAATATACTAGAAGCAACAAATACTAACAACACTTCTATAGGTGAGTGAAGCAATACTAAATTTATACTGGAATAACAACAGGATATTTACACTACAATCACCCTGAGCCAGGGCAATGATTTGTTACATTAAAAATAAGGAATATTAAGAAACAGGGAAAAGGACAAGTGTCCTTTTCCTTGATTTTTTTTTTAAAAGACTTAATTTAAAGAATTTCTTAAGTTTATCACATACATACAAATCAGTCCTTACCTGTGACTACTTCCTGGGCTTTCCCCCTGTTCCAAATAAATCAAATAGTTCATTTGATTATATTGTCTCTAACAAAAAAGAAGTCAATATATTGAGAATATCTTTGTACTAATTAGCAAAATATTTCCCACATTATTTTAGGTGATTGCTAAAGATACTTTAAAAACAAAACATAAAAATTGAAATAACATCAAAATTCACCAATTATGTATTATATATAAAATGAATTACTGATTAAGGCTATCATAGTCAATATTATTTTATTTAATCACATAATTTTCATTTTTTTCCCAGAAAGTAAATCATAAATTATTAAAATAGATCTCTACTCAAACTGTTCAAAAATAGTTTAAGAAAAGCTTTAAAAAGAATTAAATGGAAAGAAAAAAGATTATGGAAATATGGAAACAAAAATTCCAACCAACTTCAGTAAATTAGGAAAGATGACCAAAAAACAAATGGGGTGAAGTTCAAGTGAGTGAAAGGCTATGAGGAATATGTGATAGGGAAAAAATGGCTAACATGAGTTCTACAGAGAAGGGACCTTAAGTTATCATCGAGTACAAGATGAATGAGTAAGCGACATGGGACTCAGAAAGCAAAGATGATACTGTGATATGCGAACAGTTTTGGATTCACATTATGCAAATTCACCTGAGAGAGAGAGCAGGACACCCCTCCTCCCAGCAGGTGCTCCCCAGGCATGGGGGAGGTCTACTTAAGGTAAGCAAGAACTGTGTAATTAGCATTTGAGCTGGAAAGTTTTTCTTCAGCTATTATTCCTACTGTCATATCCATGATAAGCAAAGTCATATTCTTATACTACAAAAAGTGAGCAAAGGAATCAGTGGCCGAGAAGCCAGCCTATGACTAACAGACCTTTTTCAATCCTTCATTAGTTTAAATGGTGGTATAACAACGTATAACCCTAAAGATATTCAGTATACTAAATGCACAACAACCTTGTGAAGTACGTAGTGCCAGTACTGTTATCCCAGAGAACAAAGGCTCCGGGCTCCGAGGGACTGAAGGATCACGCAGCCCGTGCCAGTCAGAGTCAGTCTTCAAATGCAAGTTCTTGGTCAAGTCCAACGCCAATGCTTTTTTCCCCACACCACACTGACTCAGGAAGGTATATGTCATGTTTGCCATAAGAGGCATTTCCTTGGGAATTATAAGCAATAGTCCACATACCCTGAAAGGTCTTCATTAGTTAACATCCAATTATGTCTTTATTTGGAACATTGTGGAAAATTTGGTAATAAAAAATGAAATGGGGGGGGCACAGGTCTTTATAAGGACCTGTAAAAGTCCTGTTAAGTTAAAAACTGCCATAATTTATCTTGGAGAGAAGGATACAGAATGACAATTAAAAACATTCACACTTACAAAACCATTAAAAACATGCAGAGTTGGGTTTCCCCTCCACTCAACTGTCTGATGAAATAGGTGGTTAATGTGTAATAACCACAGGCTCATGTAGCTTAGGTGACTTGCTGAAGGTCACAGAACCAATTACGAGTGGGTACAGAGCTGGACTCCAGGTTATCTACTCCAAGCCCAGTATTCCACTCCGTCACACTGCTCAGTCAAGTAAATGAAGGGCTCTTACAAAGAAAATACTGGCATATTGTTCTTCACCTCCAACATGAGGAAAATGGACAAGAAAATGTAGTTCTTTTTCTCATTTAAAGTGTAGAGAAAAATTCTTGATGAAACAGGTGCTGATTGAAGGCTGCCCTGAGCTTCCATGGAAGCCAAAGAAACCTCCAAACAAAGAGATTCTTAAAACAAAGCTAAGTAGGCATCTCTACTGGATCATTTAGGTATTCACTTGTTTGGCTGCTGAGGATTAGCCTAGATAGTCACTTGAAGTCTTGTGAAGTTATATTTAACATGCTCACATTGCTTGCTAAAGAGGGGATTTAACTGTGTGACTTCCTTTTCTAAATTATTTGTCTAGAAACTGACAAGTGGAAAGAAAACAGAATTCAGAGACAACCATGTTGTATCAATAATATTGTCATTTGGTTTTTAGGTACAGAACTATTATATTATTATCTATTGGTGAGGGGGGAGTCAACAACTCATCTCTTCTGGCGGAGGTAGAAAACTATCAGGTCTTATCAGCTGCCTTGACCCCAACCATAAGGTGCACCAAGCCTTATCACATGCCCTGCTCCAAGGTCATATAGTCTCCCAGCAGTGTCACTTGACTTACTTATACACCCTAAGGACCTCTATTCTTTGCCATCTGCCCCAGTGCAGCACTTTCTGAACTTGTGGGCCTTTTTCTCTGCCATGAAATTGAGTATTTTTAATATATTGTCTCTTCCATTTAAAGTGTGAACTTGATTTTTCTATTTGTATCCCCAGAACTTAGTACAGTGCTTGGTCAATATATTCTCTTTTTATTAATAAATTTATTTATTTTTAGTTTTCAACATTTACTTCCACAAGATTTTGAGTTCCAAATTTTCACCCTGTCTCGCCCCTCCCCCCACCCCAAGATGGCATGCATTCTGAATACCTCTTCCCCTGGTCTGCCTTCCCTTCTATCTCTCCCCCCGCTTCTCTTAACCCCTTCCCCTTCTATCTTCCTGTAGGGCAGGTTAGATTTTTGTATCCCATTTCATGTATTTCTTATTTCCCAGTTGCATGTGAAAACATTTTTTTTATGCATGTGTTTTTAAAACTTTGGGTTCCAAATTTTCTCCCTTCCTCCTTCCCCACCCACCCTCATTGAAAAGGCAAGCAACTCAATATAGGTTATACATGTGCAGTTATGCAGAACACTTCCATAGTAGCATGCTGTGAAAAACTAACTCTATTTCCCTTAATCCTATCCTGCCCCCTCCCCCCATTTATTCTATTCTCTCTTTTGTTGGTCAATATATTCTTAATAAATGCTCATTCATCCATTCTGGTAAATACCTAGACAACCAAAATGTGAACAGGACTTGGGAGTTTATCCATGAAATAAAGAATTCTCAACTTTGCAATACTATAAAAATGAAAATACTTACTTCATCACTCTCTACTAAATTTTCAAACTGTTAAAAAAAAAAAAGAAAAAATGTTAATGAAGATGACATATGAAACATCTTACCAGAAACGACAGTAATCTCATTTTAAAAGAACAGCTTTTTGTAAGGACCCTGCAGTTTTCAAATCATTTGAAATCAAATGACTTATTATCTCATTTGATCTTCCCAACAACTCCAGAGAACTAGAGGCAATTACTTTGTAACAGAAACAAAAAATAAAAACTTTTCACCCAAGTTAACTAGAAATTTAATACAAAAGTTTTCCCTCCCTTGAAATATATAGACAGTTGCTAAAATTCTTCACATCACTTTTTGTACCTTGAAAGTCTAAGATTACTAAGTGTTTTCTCTACTGATTTTGGGGCTTCATTTAACTTTTTCAGAGGATAATACTAAATATTTTCCCTCCAACACAAGGCCAACTATTCAAATGCATTTCCATATAAAGTTCTTTCCCCCAAGTAATTTTTGAAATCAGATTCTTAGTGGTATTTTATCCATAGTTTCTGAGCAAAGCTGTCTTTTTGACAGGTAAATACAAAAACTGACAACTTCTACTGAAACAAAAATTTCCATAAAGAAAATGATTCACAATGCCTTACTATATCAGTCCATTTTTGGGAATAAGTACTTCTTAGTTTTAAGTAAAATAAAGTGAACCAATACTTATCACTATGAAAATGGATATCTGAAAATAGAAAACTTCATATTAAAATATGCTGCAGAACCAAGAAATGTTAGTAGTAACTTGATAATTTGTCTTAACTGGATAAAATAGGAAAAACTGGATGCCTGAAACTGTTAAAAATCAAACCACTCAGCACAAACTACTATACTTAATAATAAGAACTGAGAAAGAATCAAACTACTTATAATATGACTTATTCAATGAATTATTGATATTAAATACTAAAAAAAAAATGTGAATATTAGAATTTAATAGGGCTAGGTGACACAAAAAATGTATAGGCTTTATTTCCTGTAAAGTTATTTGTGGTTGGCACCTTAATAGACTCTAGAAAGTTGATAGATCCATGGCTGGCTATTCTAATAAAGGGCAATCAATCCAGTACGTGGATGTAAAGGTGATCTCATAACCTTTAATTCTACTTCTGTACTTGCCAGCTTTTTGCTGAACTTTTCACCATGACTCCATTTTATTTCACTTTATGTCCCTATGATATATAACATTAAGTGGCACTAACCCATCAGTAAAATGAAGGGGCGGCCCTAGGTGAACCCTAAGATGATTCCTATCTCTGAACCTGCACTGGTGACTTAAACATGGGTGTTCCCCCAAATTACTTCCTTGGCACCATTCTCATCTGTTTAATTTCTCCCTGAGTGGTTTCTTTTATAACATCTATCATCATCTTCATATAGATGACTATGACTCCCAAATCCATTTATTTACTCAAAGCCTTTTCCCAGAGCTTTCATTGTATTTTCACCTGCCTGAATGCCAACTCCACCAAGAATGATCAAATACAGCACATCTAATACGAACTCTTATTTTTCCAATTTCTACATTTCTATTAATAGCACCACTTTTTCAGTTATTTAAGCTCATAATTTCAGAGTCATCTTAAGTTCTTCCCTTACTCTCATCAGATAAATTCAATTAACTGTCATGTTTTGTCAACCATATCTCTGAAATCTTGCTCAAAAACATCCCCTCTTCTCAACTTCCACCCCTCTTCAGGCCTTCACCTCTTCTAACCTAGACTATTATATTGGCTTCCTAATTGGCCTTTCTTGTTCTAGTCTTTCTTCTCTTTAATTAATCTTTCGTTCTACTGCCCATATTACCACATACTTCAATTCAAATCAATGCTCTCAAGAGTGACTCGACATTGAGTTACTTGATTAATTATTGAATTAATTCCTGAAGTCTATTCAAAGCCCTCTACAAGGTGGCTCCAAACCGTATTTCTAAGTTGTCTTTTTTTCGGTTTGTTTGCTGTCGTTCAGTCACGTCCATCTATTTGTGACCCCTATTTAGGATTTTCTTGGCAAAGACACTGGAGTGGTTTGTCATTTCCTTCTCCAGCTCATTTTACAGATGAGGAAATTGCAGCAAACAGCATTAAGTGATTCACCCAGGGTCACACAGCTAGGAAGTGTCTGAGGCCAGATTTGAACTCAGAAAGATGAGTCTTCCTGACTTCAGGCCCAACACTCTATTCACTGTAACACCTAGCTGCTCCAGCTTATCTTTTACTATTTTCCCTTTATTTAACTCTACATTCCAGCCAAAATAGAATACTCTTTGACTCTCTGTTGTCATCTTGCTTTCTCTCACCTCTATCCCTTTGTTCATCCATCTCCCACACCAATAATGGGCTCCCCTCCATCTTCACTTGTTGATATATCTTCCTCCTTCAGGAGCTACCTTCTCTATGAAGCCTTCCCAGGTTAAAAAAAAAAAATTATCTCTCTCCTCAAAAGGTATCAGAACATTTTGCCTGCATGACTTCTTTGTACTTTTCTCATTTTCCCAATTAATAATTATTGGTATAATCCCCCCCACCCCCATTTAGACGAAGTTCTTGAGGGCAAGGTCTATGCCCTATCATGTTCCCGAGAACCTCATCATTGGGAAACCTCATCATCCTGCAAGATCCAATAAGTCTTACTACTCACATCTCATCAGTACTCTCTATCCCTTCAACTGGAAGGCAAAGGGAAAAACTCCTTCCAAAGCCTCCATTTAGGGACCCCCCCCATCAACTTCCTTTTGTGTGTTCTTTCCTTCCATTAGATTGTAAGCTTCTTGAGGGCAGGGACAATTTCTCTTTTTTGTATTTGTATTTCTAGCATTTGGCACAGTGCCCGGCACATAGAGGGCACTAAATAAATGTTAACTGACTGCTTATACTTAGCTTTGTAAACTAGAACTTGTTAAATGAAATGCTCGTCTAAATAATTTCTTATTATAGATACCATTTTACTTACTAGCCTCTACTTAGCCATATTTTTAGAAGAATTAGTTAACATATCATTGAAATACAATGTTATGTTTTTGCATTTAAAAGTAGGGATATGCTGCCTCTTTTAAGAAAGAGTGGAAGGATATCTGTATTATCTTGAAAGTGCTGGTTTTTTTGCTTTAGCTAAGAAGCAGTATACGTCATCATATCTTGACCTGCGCATCAGTGAAAGGCAAAAAATCAAGCAAGGAAGATAAAAGCAAAATGAACCACCAAGGAAGTAAGACTAAAGAAAACTCACAGATGAAATTTTACTTATCAATATTGGAAAAAGATTCTAAACATACACTGTGACTTGAAAAATTACCCAATCAAGAACTCTTTTTTTTTTTTGGCTAGGTAATGGGGTTAAGTGACTTGCCCAGGCTCATACAGCTAATAAGTGTTATGTGTCTGAGGCTGGATTTGAACTCAGGGCCTCCTGAATCCAGGTGCTCTATTCACTGCACCACCTAGCTGCTCCCAATCAATAACTCTTTAAAAAAAAACAAACCCCAAAAAACCCCAACTCTTTCAAGAGTGAATATCTGTATAAGTCTTACTATAAGTCTAAATTATGTATTTTAATATTAATTTTCAAAAATTCAACATATAAAATGTTAAATAATTCTACCTATATTTCATTTATATACATATTATAAAACTTAAAAAAGAAGCATTCTTACTTACTTGACAGTGAAAAAAGGAAAACTTTTCTGGGTGTGGGGAAGTTGTAGTGTTCAGAGCAAAACAGTATAATCAAAAGGATAGGAAAATAATCTCTTTGAGGAAAGTTTTTAAGGGATAACTTTTAAAATCACACCTCTGACTGTATCATTCATCCCACTAAAAATGGGCTCTTCTCTTTCATGATCTTTCACCTACCAGTTCTGTCCACTACTTTCTTTGAGATCAACTCACTTTTTATAAGAAAGCCACTCCTAATTGACTCTTCATTCTGATCAATTTATACATTATACTCAACTTGTTCATACAATGCTTTGCAATTTTATTTCCTAATTATTTCACGGTTGCTCTTGTTGAATGGACTTTCCTGACCTCAAACAAATACAAGCTAGTTTACCCAGTGTTCAACAGATGAAACAGGTAAAACTTATTGAGCAAATGAAATGAAGTACAATTCTTCAATTCAACTCAATATTCATTAAGTACCTAATATGTTATTTAGCATTCTACTTGCCTCTATAGTGAAATGCTCGCCTGTTGGGAACGTCCTAAAATACTTTGACCTGGGAAGAAGAAAAAAAAATGCTATCATTAAGGAATATAATTCACTTTACAACATTATTTTAAATGACAGCATAAAATAATTTCCTTAGGTATACCTATAAAGCTTCAAACATTTCATACAGTTGACAAACCATAACCACAATTTCCCCATAAATATCAGTGAAGCAGACTCTTACGCTGTTAAATTAAATTGTTATTTAAATTGTTAAATGCTAAATTGTTAACATTTGTGTTAAATTATTATTTCATTAAAAAAGAATTTAAAACAGTATTTTAGTTAACTATTAATTGAGCTTATATGGTAGTCATTTACTAATATTAATTCATGACACAAACATTACCCAAAGTAGACTAGTAATTTTGAATCTTTACTACCATCCTTTTACTTTATTATTTCAATAAAAATAATTTGGCAGAAAATATGTCCCTAAACCTGAAATATGATACCTCTAGTAAAGCCAACATCAAAATGGGTTGCTGGATGCTTTTGTGGTTTAGCGCCTCCTGCATACTACAGGTCCAGTATTTCTGGAAAATATGGCAACTCAAGAAGACAAATTCATCCATCCATCCATCCATCCATCCATCTGTCTAGCTAGCTCAGAATCTCAGAGTTGGAAGGGACCTCAGAGGTCATCCCCTGGAATGTACTCCACCACATCTTTGTCCACTTAGAGACTTCCACTGATGAGGCACTCACTGTTCCCCCAAGCAACCCACTCTGCTTTTGAAAAGATCTAATACAATAGTTCTTAACATAGGGTAATGAACTCATTCCTTTTAAAAAATATATTTTTATAACTATATTTCAATATAATTGGTTCCTTTTGCAATCGTATGTATTTTATTTTCTGCATTTAAGAACATTATTCTGAGAAGGGGTTGGTCCAAAGACTTCACCAGACTGCCAAAGGAATCCATGACATAAAAAAGGTTAAGAATCCTTATGACTGGTTGTTAGGACATTTACTTACAAGCATCTAAATCTGCCTGTCTGCATCTCAAATCCATCTGCTTCTACTTTTGCCCTTTGGGGCCAAGCAGAAGGAAGCTTAATCTTTTTTTCGATAATTAAAGACAGATGTTGCGTCCTTTGCGGGCCGGCCTTCTCTTTTTTAGGCTTAGAGACCCTGGTTCCATCAACTAATCTTTGCATGGCATGCATACTCTGGTCATCCTGCTGTAGAAATACTTCTATTTTTCTAGCGTCTTTTCTCAAAGGCAGTGCCCAGTTATAATACTCCAGATGCGGTCTAATAGGAAGTAAGAATCTGAGAGCTGGAGGGCATCTTGATGGTTATCTAGCCCAAATTTTCCCATCTCCCTAATCTCTACAGCATCCCTAGAAGAGGATAATTTAGCTTTTTTAACTTCTCTAACAACAGGGGGCTCTCTACTTCATGATGCAGTTGGTTCCATTTTTAGACTATACTAACAGAGAAAGTTCTTTCTTATGTAAAGGGTGTCTATGTGCTTTGTTTCCCATGTAGGTTATGTGTGTCCATATGAGTCTGTGTAGATTTGGCTCAAAGGGAGGCACGAATAGATAGTTCTATATTCTCTCTGACCACCCTTTTCCAAGGGGCACTTTGATTCCTGCTGGAAAGGAAATAGAAGATTGGTGCCAGAGGCCAGATGTTTTGCACTCTTCAGAGAAGGGCACTGGGTTAGGATTATATCTATCCATCCCCCCTAAATACTGCTATGATAAGGGAAATAATTTTTAGGTTCCAGCTGTGTTCCTGATCACTCTCCTTTTAACTGGTAAGGAGTGCCCAAAGCTATACATTCAAGGCTTGATTTCCTTCCCATCAATGCCAGGTCGACAAAGAATATACATAACAAATAGCAAACAAACCCATTTATCCAAGCTGATAGCAAACAGAAATCAGACAAAGTATACAAATGAGACATCTCAGTCTCCCCCATTGGGAGCAAGATATCTCAGTTCAACCAAGAGAAAGAGTCCCACCTTTCACCCAAGAGTAGAAGTCTCAAGTGCAGCTATGGGATAGGGACATAATCAAGTTGCCAGTTCCTCTATATTTTGGCTTCTTCCCAGAGTCTTTCTCTCCCTTTAGGAATCAGAGGGCCATCTCCAGTTGTCCTGATCTATATTTGGCCACTGGACCCAGATGCCTCTGGAGGAGAAAATGAGGCTGGTGACTTTGCATAGCCTTCCCTCACTTAAATTCCCTCACTTGCAAGTCACAGCATCATCTTCCTGGTGTCATGGTCTTCTTCGAGAATGAAGGACAAACCACACACAACTCAACAACACCGGAAACAAGCAGTTCAAAAATCATATTCGACTGACTTTTACATCAAAGACAAAAACATTTACCAATTTATCATCTACCATAATTCCCATTATAAGAGGTACACATGTAGTCAAATAAATACACCAATACTCTTTCCAAGATGTCTAGTATTTAACAATATGGTAGGCCTAACTGCTATAAAATATACCTTACACTGGACCTTTTCAAAAGGGATTATTACTAGAAGCAATTTGTTAAAAAAACAAAACAAAACAATGTAATCATATTTTTAGTAAATACCATTGTCAGCATAAAAGAAGTTTCAATGTCAAGAAGTGACATACTTCTAGGGGTATCTAAGACAGCTGAATTATACCTGAAATGTTCCTCAATCCCTACTGAAAAGTGCCCCTAATTCAAAATCCACTTAGTAGCAATCAAGACAATTCCCTTCACATTCCAATGTCTCTCCTTACTTTCCATCCCTGTCTCAGATAACAAAGTAGGAATTTAAAAATGTCCTGGAAACTGTTTAAAATGTTCCTTTTTCTTTTACTTCCCCAGAAAAGAAATCGAACTTGACTTTGATAAATCCATTTCCATTCTAGAATGGGAATAAGGCAGTAACATATAATATTAATAAATAAAAGCAGCACCATGTAAGACCAGAGCATGATAGAAATGCTTATAAAAATTAACACAATCTTGGGTTACACTCTCAGAACACATCTAGTTAAGCAACATTCAGTTCCAGGGGTCACATTTTGTATGGGGCAATGGTAAGCGACAAAATATTTACAACAAGATGAGCAGAATGGCAATGGTTTGAAAATATGTTATATGAGGAACTACTGAAGGAAGTAGAAGAAATATATTAACTTAAAAGGGAGGGTACAGAAAGAAAAATGCTAGACATCTTCAAAATCGTGAAAAAATCTCATGTGAAAGAGGACTTAGACAATTCTCTGTTGTTCCAGGGGGTAGAACTAGGATAAATGAGTGGAAATTACTGGAAAGAGTAATTTGTTTTAACACATGGAATAATTTTTATGGTAATTAGAGCTTTTCAACAATTGAATAAGCTGCCTCTGGAAACAAAATGTTCCTGGTCATTAGAAATAATCAAATAGATAGTAAATGGTGGGCTATAAGTGAGGTTGCATAGAAAATTCCTGTCCTGAAAGTTAGAAAGGATCATTAACTCTAAGATCCTTTCCATATCTAATATTCTGAATTCACCTAAGTTATCTGACAGTGAAACAGTCATCAAAAATGTCCACTGAGTTCTGAAATTCTATTTCACATGTAATCTAAAATTATACAGCAATGAGAGTATTTAAAACTAAAAATTGCTAGAAAAACAGACAGTTTATTATTTGTTTAGTAGAAGCCAAAGTAGGTGGAAAAACAGATAATTCATCAGTGGTAGAAGGAATAACACTTTAGACATCTGTAAATTGAGAATCTTATAATGAATCAGACTTACTCATTTAAAGTGGGTCTTCTGTTCCACAGAAAAGTATAAACAAAGTATTTGCCTTGACACAGACACACAGACACAGACACACAGACACAAACACATGAGTGTAATTTAGGTAGCTTGATTCAGAAAAGTCATGGGCCATGTAATATAATAATAGTTGCTGACGTTTATGTAGTAATTTAAAGTTTTTAAAGCTTGTTATAATAGACTCCAATTTGATCCTCATAAGAACTTGGTGAGCTATCATTCCCATGAGGAAACTGAGGCTCAGAAAAGTTAAAGTTATTGGTACACAGTCTCTTAGCTAACAAGAGTTAGAGGCAGGATTTGATTTCAAATCTAGGTTGAGTAAAGCAGAGATAGGCTTAATTGTGGAGGCAGTTGAGGGTTAACAGTGAGTGTTCTGGACTTGGATTCTGGAGAGTCTTGGCTGATAGACAGGTATAATCTTGGCTGTGCTGCTTACCACCCAAATGAACTTGGGCAGGTCATTTAACCTGAGCTCAATTTCCTAATCTCTAAATGAAAAGTTAAACAAGTTAAATTGTAAGGTCATTTTCTAGTTTGATTGTAGGATCCTATTGTCAGGATCATGACCAAAATCACTGAGACAAACATTAAATAAAGTACCAGTGGGAGGTAGCTGGAAGGAAAGTAATGGAAAAAACACTAGTGTCAAGAATTTTGTACTCTTGTCCTGGTTCTGAAACGAACTAGTTATTTATGTTCAGTAGACAACAGAAATAATGAGGATTTTTGAGCAGTGGCGTGCTATAACCATACTTGTACATTAGCTAAAGAAATTTCAACAGTAAAACATAAAACTGGCTTGGAAGGGAAGAGATTAGAGTAGGAAATAACCAATTAAAGGAGGTGACTGCAAAAGTCCAAGAAAGGTAATTGCCTAAATTTGTGTGACAGCAGTGGGAACCATGAGGTAGGAGGTAGGGTAGGGGGGAATTTAAGTATTTATTGAAAGTAAAGAGAACAGGGCAGCTAGGTGGCACAGTGGATAGAGCTCCGGCCTTGGAGTCAGGAGGACCCAAGTTCAAATGTGGCCTCAGACACTTGACCCTTACTAGCTGTGTGACCCTGGGCAAATCACTTAACCCTGACTGTCTCACCAAAAGAAAAAAAAAAAAGAAACAAAGAAAGTAAAGAATATATATGAGCTTCCTGGGATAAGGAGTAATGAGAAGGGTAACTGGATTTAACTAGAGAGAATCAATTTCTGCTTCAGAACCTTACCAAGAGG